CGGCACGCAGGTGAGTTCATCAGCAGAGAGCTATTGCTGGGTTAACAATAAGATGCCGATGAAAAACACGTATGTAAATGTGCGACTGGATGAGAAAATAATCCTGCGTTCAGTGGTGACAAAGATACGCAGCACTTATGAAAGGGCCATACAGAACAAAATATGCTGGCACGCATGTTTAAGTACATCTTTCTCAGGACGTCTCTTCCTGCTGCTCTGGGTCAGTTACCTGCTGGCTGAATGCCCGTGTCAAGATGCATTTCGTTCATCCAGTTGCAGCAGCAGAGTCTGTTTTTGCTGGAGCAGAAGCTCAAGTTTCAGCTGTGGCATGTGTTGTAAGACTATTTCACGTGGACACAATAGTTCAGAGCCCCTGTTGGCATAGGTGTTTAGTTGAGTGGCTTTCACACAGTGATGAATGGACTCCCAGTTTTTACCTCCTACCCTGGTTGTTCAGCACTGAAGATAGGAACATCGTACTCCTCTCAGAAAATTTTAAATTTCAGAAATACATTTGGTAAGTTGGCGCATTCCAAAATTCACTGTTAGGACTACAGAAAATAGTTTTTTAGATAAACCGATGAATGCAGTGTTATTCTTAACAGCTTTAAGGTGATATGTATTCAGTAGCAATATTTCTACATAGAGTAAACTGCTAAAATATTTTACTTTGTATGTCTAGAAAAGTGACTTGGTGTAAGTGATCGATATTAGGGGACATAAGGTGGAAAAAACATGATGGTTGGAGGACTGAGAAGGTAAGACAGTTAAACTTCATGCTGTATCTTACTGGTTATAGCCTCCAAAATTATAATAGTGCAATGGCAACTGATGTTCCCCTCCTGACGTGAGGGAAAGCAGTACTGCATTTGCACATAAGACTCGCACAACACTGGTAGCTTTCACTTCACTAATTTGTACTTAAAACTTTCTAAGAAGTTCCTAAGACGGGATGAAAATCCCTGTTTGGCTCAATGCAAGTCTTCCTACTCAATAAAGGCACACAGCTGCTTGATGAGGATTCGTCAGACTTTATTTTCAGTTGTTTTGTTGACAGTGTGATTTTAATGGCACCACTTCTTCCATTTTCCTAGGCAGCATCAAGGGATAATGGGATTTATCATACCAGCACTAAACTGAGACTAAGCTTCAACCCTTTATATGGAACTGTTTGTTGAAGGATGACACTGCAGTGCTGAAGGCAGCTGGGGCATGAGACCATGCTTCTCACAGAATGTGAATGATGGCTCACTTCAGAAACTTTATGAAATCCAAACTTAGTTAAATCCTTTCAAGTTTTTTCTTTGCAATGCAACAATAAACCAGTGATTGACTTTACTTAGAGCTGTTACTTGAATAAGTGGGGTAAGTTAAAGTTGTACTAAGGTATGTATGACATGTCTTGTTCTCCCTTCAGATTAAGATTTGTAGTTTGATTTACAATGAAGACCAAAAAAAGGGGCAAAAACATCCTTAAAACATAGGTTTTTTTTCTTCCTTCTAGTAGCAGAAGTGCCTTTTTATATACATAGTGAACTAAACTTGAACTTGTATCTGTTTTGTACAGAACAATTTTTTTTTCTGTTAGAAATTGGTAACTTCTGAAAACATGAAGATGACAATATAAACGAATGCAACAGCAAACTAATAATTCATAACTGTCACTGGAACAGCAAAAAAATGCTTAGAAAGGCAGTGAACTGGTTTTAATTAAATTAAACAATACTGCTGCAGGCAGAGTGCTCGTAACTGTATCTTCAATGCTATACTGCTGAAATAAGGCATGCTTCAGATTGTTAAACTTATGTTCTTTAATGATTTAAATAACATAGGTTGAATATTTTACATTATATTATATGCATCAGTACTGGGCTCGCGTGGGAACGTTTTGGCAGGAGTGGTGTTACAAGGGTTGCTTCTGTGAGAAGATGCCAGCAGCTTCCCGTCTCTGGCAGAGCCAGTGCCAGCTGGCTCCAAGAGGGACCTGCCACTGGCCAAGGCCAAACCTGTCAGCAATGGTGGTAGTGCCTCTGGGATAACATAGTTAGGAAGGGGAAAAAAACCTGCACAACAGTAGCCAAAACAGAGGAGTGAAAATGCATGATATAAACAATTCTGCAGACACGAAGGCCAGCGAAGGAGGTGGAGGAGGTGCTCCAGGTGCCAGAGCAGACTCTCCTGCAGCCAGTGGTGAAAACCGTGGTCCTAGAGTAGTGTTAGATGGAAAAGACCTTTAAGATTGAGTCAATTAATCTAATGCTGCGAGGCCCACCACTAGACCATGTCCCTAAGCACCTGGTCTACACATCTTTGAATACCTTCAGGGATGGTGACTCCATTATTTCCCCTGGGCAGCCTGTTCCAATGCTTAACAACCCTTTCAATGAAGAAATTTTCCCTAGAACTCGACCTGAATCTCCCCTGGAACAACTTAAAGCTATTTCTTTTTGTCCTATCACTTGTTAGTTGGGCGAAGAGACCAAGCCCCACCTCTCTACAATTTCCTTTCAGAGAGCTGTTGGGAGTAAGAAGGTCTCCTCTGAGCCTCCTTTTCTCAGGGCTAAAAAAACCTCCATTCCCTCAGTTGCTCCTTGTGAGACTTGTTTTTCAGATCAGTTTTGTTGCCCTTTGGACATGCCCCAGCACCTCAGTTTGTCTTCTATTGAGGGCCCCCAAACTGAACAAACTATTTGAAGTGCAGCCTCATCAGTGTGAACTACAGGGCAATGATCACTGCCCTAGTTCTGATGGCCACACCCTTTCCAATGTATGCCAGGATGCTGTTGGCCTTCTTGACCACCTGGGAACACTGCTGGCTCATTTTCAGCTGGCTGTTGACCAGCATCCCCAGGTCCTTTTCTGCCAGGCAGCTTTCCCGCCACTCCTCCCCTCTGTAGCATTGCCTGGGGTTGTGCAGGACCCAGCACCAGGACAGTCTTGCATGTGTGGGTGTTGGTTTCTTCTCCCAGGCTGCTAGCGATAGGATAAGAGGAAATGGGCTCAAGTTGCTCCAGGGGAGGTTTAGGTTGAATATTATGAAGAATTTCTTTACTGAAAGAGTGCTGAGGCATTGGAACAGCCTGCCCAGGGGGGTGATGGAGCCACCATCCCCAGAAGTGTTCAAAAAACATATCAATGTGTTTTCTGAGAACATGGTTTAATGGTCTTGGTAGTGTTGGATGATGGCTAGACTTGATGATCTTAGAGGTCTTTTCCAACCTTAATGACTCTATCATCCCCCACTGAAGAAAGGGAAGAATCGGATTAATATTTCCCCTGAGGAGAGGGGAGAAGCAGCAGAAACAACATACAATGAACTGACTGCAACCTTCATTCTTCATTATGAGGGTTGTGAGACACCAGAAGAGGTTGCCAAGGAAAGTTGTGGGTGGGTACTACGTGTGCTCAAGACGAGGCTGGAAGGGCCTCTGAGCAACCTGGTCTAGTAGAAGGTGTCCCTGCCCATGGCAGGAGGCTTGGAACTAGATGATCTTTAAAGGTCCCTTCCAATCCAAACCATTCTATGATGCCCCAACCCCCTGCGCTGTTGTGGGGGGAGCAGGTAGAGAAACTGGGAGTAAATTTGAGCTGAGGAAGAAGGGAGGGGTGGGGGGAAGGTGTTTTACATTCAGTTTTATTTGTTGTTACTCTACTCTGATCTGATTGGCAAAGAATTAATTTCCCCAAGTTGGGTCTGTTTTGCCCATGACAGTAATTAGTGAGGGATCCCTCCTGTCTCTACCTCAACCCAGGGGCCTTTCATTGTATTTCCTCTCCCCTTTCTAGCTCAGGAGGGGAATGACAGCAGCTTGATGGTCCACCTGACATCCAGGTGGCCACGACAGGATATATATATTAATATAAATAGCTAGCAACTTGTCCTTGTCCTTGTTTTACTAAACAGTGCTTGACAGTTGCCTAGAAGATCCCAACAGGGTGGTGAGACTACCAAGTTTCCTTTACTTGGACAAGTATCAAAACTTTAACTTGACTAAAATGTGATTACTTTTTTTTTTCCCCTCTCATTTTAGAAGAAAAATTCACAAGATAGTATCAAAAAGCACATTGCTTAAACTGATAATGATTTATTATGTTTAGGAACATTCAATAAATACCAAGCTTTTAGCTTCAGATTGGCAATCCTTCCCCACCAAAATTCAGTTTGTGGGTTGGGATTTTTTTTCTAGCATAAACTCCATTGCCAGCAATGGATGTATCAGAAGGAGAAGTAAATAAATAATACACACAGACAGCAGTTTTCTAAACATACCTCCTCTTTTAAAGGCATGATACAGGTTTACTAAACAAATTTCAAGTTCTTCACAGAAGAAAATTTTGCTACAAGCCATCTCTGGACATTGTTTTCTTCACCAACGCTGGTAGTTTATTATATGAAGGACAGTATTTATTTTTGAACAGTACTGATAAATGATTTAAAACCAAGGTTTTTTTCACCCTTTAAGCTGAGACATGTAACTAGTACTCAACTGTATGAATTTAAGAGCAATGTATTGCTTGCTGAGCATTTAACAGCAATCAAGAATAAAATACGAAAGAGAAATTGTCAATATAATAATCTGTTAGTAGGGGCCTGGGGGATTTTTGTTATTGTGTTTCAGCTTGCTTTTAAACCACTGTTCAAATTTTAAAACACTGTTAAAGGTATCATATTTAAATTTAACAAATGTTTTGGTTTACTTTCCATGAAGAATTGTTTTAAAAACACAACTGAAAAATCTTCTTGCTCGTAAGAATTGTTCAAGTACTTAAAATGTGAATATCCCTCTAAACTCCATTCATTATTAAAAATGTGTACTTATAAAAGCATGAGGACTACAGAAAATACATTAACATAATAGACTTAATCTTGTATAATTTTTTCCCCACAACTGTATTTTACATATCACCAAGCTTCCGCTTTAGCAAAAGAAAAAGAGTAAAAATAAATTTTCTCCCAACTATTTACACACAGGAATTAGCCTGCTGTAGGACCGGGTGCTTCACTCTACAGTCCCCCTAACCCAAGGCATAGTCTTAGGAGCATCCCTTTGCGACTTAGGTTCCTGGAAGTTTTCAGCAAACCTTTCTCTTGCTTTATCCCAGTTCTTTTTATTCTTGTTCTGGACGATCGGAACATCTTCAACTGAGACTGGTCTGCTGGTACCCAAACCTGCATGCGTCTTATGTAACTGAAGGTGGATCTGCCAAATACATTACATATTCTTGTAACTGCAAGTTAGATAATCTAAACAGTTTAAATCCTACTGTAGAATACTAATTCTACTCCCTTTCCCACGTACTTCTCCTTAAGGCTGTAGTACATGGAGATCATACATGGGCATCTAAAGTACTGTTAAAAAGATGTGTCAAATCACCACCTCTAGAACTATGAGCTAGAGTCCTGAATGACGTTACCTGCCATTAACATTACTGTGAAGTAGTCCTCATTGAGTGAACAGTCTATGTCTGTGGTGGGTAGTTAGAAAACAAAAGGTATGGTGTGGCTCTGAGCAGCACTACCACCAAAAGACATCACGTCTTGGTGGCAAAAACAAGGATAACGTGGCTGCCACAGGGGCCCAGAACTCCATGGCTCTAGTGACTTCTGCCAGATTTTTCTCGCTCATGGCCCATCATCTAGCTTGATTTTTGTGGTAGATCAGCCTCACAGAAAGTGAGGAATTCCACCATAAGCCCATCTCAAATTCACATGACTTAAAATTATTTCAGTTTTCCTCCAGAGTTTGTATTCAGATAAGTTCATTAGTTCAATCGCTAGAATCTATCCGTCTTCCCTTGCTTAGTTTCCTAACAAACACAGACATCACTGGCATTTTCCACTGAAGGGCAAGATCACTGAAAATCTTCAAAAGACTTCCATTAATCAAGTAAAAAATTGCAATTAGTTCTACTGCGACTATGCCCTCCTAACCAGGACTTTGAAATTTTTCAATTGAATAGTGGCTATTAGACATTAAAAATCAGACATTTTTCACTGCAAATACATTTGGATTTTCTGCTCCAAGTAAAAATCAGAAAGACCTACCGGGTCTGTCATGCCACTGCCATCCTTGCCCAGGCCTTCTCCCTTCTTCCATCCCATCTTCTCCAACATTTTATGTCCTTTGTTGCTGTTGCTGATTTCACTTTGAATAAAGTTGAAGATAACTCATAAGCAAGAGTTAATACAAAGAGCAACAAGAGCTACCCAGAAGACGCTATTGCTACCTTTATCAAGTTCTTCCAGGAATATTACAGGTCACCAAAGCTATTCCAAGCCTCTCGTCAGTACGAACTTTAAAATTCTTTCTGAACTATTTGCTTGCTTTAGGAGTTAAGAGACGGTATGAGCAGGTGGGAATGGACTGCACTAGGGAGAGA